AGCCATCTTCGCTTGTCGGCCATGTCGCTTCAATTCCTCACGGAAGTCATTGACTGTGACGCGTTCGTCACGCGAAGTCACGTCTGCGAAGATTGGGTCACAGCAGAACTTGACGCACGAGGTGTCACGGAGGGTATTGTGTTATTGAGCGAAAATGGATGTGCTTCTTGTTACATTCCGACGAAAAAAGCCCGGTTTGATTTGTCTAGATTGCCGAGCTTCAACGAGGTAAGGGCAGTGACTGTCTGTGAAGGCAAACTGTACGCCATTGGCTGGCAAGATGACCGTTTAACGATTGAAAAATTCGACCCTCAGGACAACATCTGGTTGGTGGTACTATGGAAGATTTCCAACCTTCCTTTAGCGGCCGTGACGATGAGCAACTGCATATACCTGTTTGAGGAAAGTGGGGTGATGCGTTACAAACCTTTGGACAATTCCTGGCAAGATGTGGACCCGATGCGCTCCTCACGAAGGGGCTTTTGCGCGTTGTCGTTGAACGGACTCATCTACGCGATCGGGGGCCACGATGGACGTAGTCGGCGGAGGCTCAATATCGTCGAGAGTTATGACCCTAGCAAAGACCAATGGAGATACGTTCCATTTATGTACAAGAATCGTTGCTCCGCAAGTGCGACTGTTATGGACAATAAAATCCTTGTGGTGGGGGGCACGGGCGATTTTTTTCAACCGCTTCGGGATTGTGAGCTGTACGACCCTACAACAAATGCGTGGAGCTTGGTGCAGGCAAAATTGTGTGTCGCCCGCTCTAACGCGGCCATCGCCAGAGCAAGAAGAACGATCTTTGTATTCGGTGGAACTTACAGCAATGGGATTGTTGAATATTACGACAAGGATAAAGAAAACTGGACAGAAGTTGGAGAGATTCCGTCCACTATGTCGTTTAATCATGCGTGTACCGCGTGGCTACCAAAAGCGCTTTTTGAGCCACTAGAAGGCGTCCCGCTTTGTTGTCGAGAACAGAACAACAAAGAGCAAGATGGACATAGACATGTATAATTTTGTTCTAATGAAGCAGCGAGTTTATTCGCCCAGGCTTACCACCCTCTGTTTGCTTCGATGGTATGCCAAACCCAACAATGATACTTTGATTTTATAAAACAATATTTGATAAACGCCAGGAAGATGTTAGCAAGCAATTATCCGGTAACAAAAGAAAAGTTTGATTCGCTCGCACTGAAATTAGATTTAGAAACGATCCTGATACGACACCTAATTTCTTCACAAAGTTGCTTTTGGTCAGTTTGTGTTCCACAACATAACATTTCTACCAAGATTTAGAGAAGGGACTCCTGTCAACGATATTTTGGAGACCCTCCAACATTCACTATGGCCTTATGTCCCAGCCGGGATGATAAGGAGGAGTGAGTGAGTGTCAAACATTCAAGAGGTGGTCTTTGATAACTCTCTGAGACAAGCTGGTAGCAGAAGCTTTCTGGCAAACTCCCACAGATCAATCCTCTCAGTAGCATTGCCGTTGTAAAGCAGTATATCTAAGCTTGACTTCCTATCAGAGGAATGACCGAAACTCTGGATTGGCTGAGTTCTCCCTGGGTGAATTCTTTTCATTATATGGCTAACTCCGTGAGCGGGCAGGATGAATCAAATCCTGCGCTGTGATCGGCTACTCGAGCGGGCAAGATGGAGCAATCTTCCCCGCTCGGGACTACCCGCCGTGTCCCGCTAAAAATTTCCCCGAAAGCCATATAATAAATCCTTTATTGACCAAGCTTGTTCGGTCAAGATGGCTGGATATTGGCCTCGTTCTTTTTTTGCGAGTTTATGGACCTCGACTCCGTCGATTGTTTTCTTTTTCTGTAAATCCTCTGATTCCTTGGAACATGCATTTCTGGAGTGTCCTGCTGCCCTAAACTTCTTTCAAAAAGTCCTTACATGGTTCAATAATGAGCACAGAGTTAACTCTACACCATCTAAAATACAGCTACTATTTAAGGACTATGATCTTCCCCCAAATACAAGCCCAAACCTAACCTGGAAGTTTGAGATTTTAGTTGTGCAAACTCAAAAATATTATGATTCTGGCAAAATGTTGGAAAAAACTTTAAATTTTCTTGAACTGAAGTCAGAGCTATCTTTGCAATGGAGAGCTGAAAAATGCGAAAGTTAAATTAATTTAATTCAATTTACAATATATAATCAGTCTCAGTGGCAAAATCAGTAATTAGTGTTTTGCTACTATTGTTATAATATGAATGTAAGAAGCATCAGTAATGGTATTATATCATTTTGTAAGTAGTGTAAGTGTTAGTATCGTAAGTTAAATAAGTAACTGTATTGTTTTGTAGAGTAAGTTACGCAAATTGTAGTATTGTAAGTAGTATCTTTAATTGCATCGTATTGTTAAGTAGTGTAAGTAGTGTAAGTAGTTGTATTACTGTTGTAAATAGTTATTAATGTTGTAATTAGTAGTTGTATTACTGTTGTAAATTGTGTAAGTAGACGAACCAGTGTTGTAAGTAGTGTGAATCACAATTAAAGTATTAAAAAAAA